TCAGTGCCTAGGGCCTGAGTTCAAGCCCCACTACTGGCTCGCGTGTGCACACACGTGTGCGCACGCGTGCACACACACACACACACACACACACACACACACACACACACACGACAAAGTCCCGTGATCCTCCACACCTAGCAGCTCCCTCCTGCACGCCACTGGTACACAGTGGAAGCCTGGCTGCTGTCTTGTACCCAGTGCTGCTGCTGCCGCTGCCACTGCCCACATACACGCCGTTCCTTCCTTGGATGGGTATTCCTCATTGCCCGTGTAAATGGGCACCGCTTACTGCACCCTCTGGACAGGCCCCGTGGCACCTCTGTGTGCATAGCCCAGTTCCATTTGTCTGCCATCCACCTGCCTTCCATGGGGTGAGCCCCCTGGGGGCTGCTTGCTCCAGCCTGAGGCACAGTGCTCGCACACAGCCTGTGAGTAGAAACCTGATGGCCGGGCTGCGGCGAGGGCGGAAGTAGCAAGTAGAGTGGAGTAGGGGAGTGTGGACATGTCAGGAAGCTTGGTAGTGCGCAGGCAGGCAGTCAGTTTGGGACTGGACACCTAAGTCAAGAGGCGGCAGAGGCCAGGCGGAGGCTGCCCGGCTGTCACCGCCAGCTGTGGTGAGAGGAGGTGTGGGCCCCTAGCTGGCCTCAGGAGGCCTTTGCCACTGGGGCTGGGCACAGTGAGTGTTTTCCAGAAGGCTGGTCAGATTAGGATTTGGTAGTGGGAGAGAGATGGACAAGAGTGACTTGCGCAGTGCTGGGAAGCAGGCGTGGCTGAACAGAACTGTGGAGAGTGGGTGCCTGTCTGGCCAGCCCAAGGGGGTCATGGGGGCTGGGCTGTGAGAAGAGCAGGCCAGTATGATTGCTCAGATCATCACTAGTAGGGGAGCTGCTGATGGGATGAGGAGGGAGCCAAGCCCTGGGGAGGGACACGGAGGGACCCGGGCACAGGGCACAGAGGCGGGGACAGGATGACGTTCCCTGCGTGGCACTGCTTCCTCGCAGAGGCGCCTCCAGCTCCCTGGGCCCGTTGGCTCATGGAGATGCCCATCCGTCCCTCTCTGCTGCAGCCTTCTTGCCCTGGAAGGCCATGCAGCCATGCTGGTCCTCCAGCGGGTGCTCCCGGGGGACCTGTCCCTCCAGCCCCACCTCATGGTCCTTGTAGCCCAGTGGTCAGCGGTCAGACCACACAGTGAAAGGTCAGGGCAGGCCTGTGGACGGCCACAGCTGACCAAGGCCTCTCCAAGGTCCATGTGGGAAAGAGGTGGGGGGCAGGAAAGCCTGATAGAGGCATCCAGTGCCATTTGCGGAAATGGGGTGGGTTCGGGCCAGGGGTGCTAACTGGAGTGCTGTTGCAGATCGCATCAACATCAAGAGGAAGGGTGCGTGGCCCAGCACGCTGCTGTCCGTACAGAATGTCCTTGACTGTGGGGATGCTGGCTCGTGCGAGGGAGGCAACGACCTGCCGGTGTGGGAGTATGCTCACAAGCACGGCATTCCCGACGAGACCTGCAACAACTACCAGGCCAAGGACCAGGGTAGGCCCTGCCTGAGCCCTCAGCCGTCCCCCTCTTGCTCTCCACTCTGTCTGCCAAGAGAAGATCCCAGGGTGGGGCTTCTCTGAGCTAGGAGCCCAGGCGAACCTGTGTTTGTCATGGATGCTGAAGAGACTAGGGACCCAGACTCCAGGCTCCCAGGAAAGTTCCACCTTCTCTGGGGCCAGCTTGGACAGAGGAACAAAAAAAGCTGGAGCCTATTGTCTGGTGGAAAACCATCCAAAACCTGATGTGGTATACAGATGCCAGAACTCCACCCAGGGATAAGCCAGACTAAACTAAGTGCCTCTGAAGCTAGGCCTGGATGTGGTGGTGTGTGGGTTCTGATGCCTGCCATTTTGGTAGCTGCATAGGCTTTTAAGGCAGTGCTGGCTGTCAGTGGCCTCCCACCTTCTCCAAGTGCAGAGAGCAGGTGGGGAGGTTGCTACCTGCAAGCCAGGTTCACGGTACCACAGTATCCACCAGGTTTCCCACCCCAGCTGCCAGAGTCCAGCATGGATGGCAGGGCAGGCTGCCCTGGAAGACTGTAGTTGGCACGTTCCATTTCAGGCTGTTCCTCTTGGAGACCAAAGGCAAGAAAAAGCCCAGGCTCAAACTCGTAATTGGCTGCTGTAAGCCACTGTCCCTTAGTTCTCCCCCAGCTGGGGCAGAGAGCTCTAGAAGCTCAAGGCCTTGGAGACTAGAGCGGAGAGGGGAGTGGGAAGAATTCCATGTGGGATGGCTGTAGGCCTCCAGCACAGTATCAGAAGGCACTGGATCCTACCTCTGCCAGCCGGGTTCCCTCCTCTGGCCTCCTGGGCCTTACTGCCCAGCCAGAAAGTTCTCTGGATGGGTGGGGGAAGTTCTTGCCCTGGTTGGGTAAGCCTCAGTGACAAGAGACCCCAGAACTGGGACAGGCAGAGGGAGGAGGGAAGGCCAGCAGATTTGGCCAACAGAGTCGGTATGTTTTCAACATTGGTGGAATGCCCTGGAGTTTTACCTACCCTACGCTATCGCCAAACTGGTGCTATCCAGCTGAGCCCAGGCCCCTCTAATCCCACCCAGCCTGGCAGGTGCATGGAGCTCATCAGAAACCCTTGTGTTTGCAGTAAACAGTCTTGGCTTTGTGTCAGCACATGTGGTCACAGATCCACCATTTTCCAGTCGGGCCGAATACCAGCAGGGTGTCAGCCTGGTGTCCAAGGGACAAATTAAACCAACGCTGTAATCCTGGAGGAGCTTACTGTGCCCCAGGGAACATCTGGGCAGATGTGTAGTTACTACAGAAATGGGTAACAGCAGAGGGTCCAAAGGCCAGCTGCAGGGGATGGGGTGTCAGGCTGGGTGGAGAGCAGTTGGATGCCACTGTGGGACCAGCATCCAGTAACTAGGGCTGCACTTTCTTTCCTTTAAACTTAATTCCTATCTTGTACAGCTCAGACTGAAATAACAAGGAAGTACTTTTTATAAAAACCTATCATCAACAGAATCATCTTAAATTTTAATAATTTTGTTATATTCAGTTTTCAGTCACATTGCGAAAAGGTCCTCCCAGCCTTTCAGGCAAGAGAAAAAAGGCAACTTTAGCATGCCTACTATGTGCTAATGACGCTTGCTTTCTGTTCTGCCATGGCCTGGCATGCAATTAGACAGCACCTGATCGCAAGATGACTTTGCCATTAGTTACCGAATGGTAGGGTAAATTAGCAAAGCGGAAGGGCTGGGTTGCGCTTGTTGGTGGGTTAATGAGACAGTCTTACACTGACTTCTGCCTCTTCCCCAGAGTGTAACAAGTTTAACCAGTGCGGGACCTGCAGCGAATTCAAAGACTGCCACCCTGTCTGGAACTTCACCCTCTGGAAGGTGGGCGATTACGGCTCTCTGTCTGGGAGGGAGAAGATGATGGCAGAGATCTATACCAATGGTCCCATCAGGTGAGAGGCCCCCCAGGGGGAAGCATCTGCCAGTGATACCTGGGACAGGAACCGACTTGCCCTTCTAGGCTTACTGGGAGATGTGGACAGTGAGTGGGGTGGGGGCGTCTGGAAGGGGCCCAGCACCACCACACCAGGCTGCCCAGAGGCCCTGGGTGCATGCACGCTTGGATCTGCACTTGCACCGGCTGACCACCTGTAACTTCTTCCTAAACGCTTAACTCCCAGCTGTGGAATAATGGCAACGGAAAAGATGATTAACTACACTGGAGGCATCTACGCCGAGTACCAGGACCAGCCCTTCATCAACCACATCATCTCCGTGGCCGGGTGGGGTGTCAGCGATGATGGGACCGAGTACTGGATTGTCCGCAATTCGTGGGGTGAACCGTGGGTAAGGCATTTCCCCTCTGATGTGTGGCTGGGAACAGCAGCCTCCGTGGAGACTTCCTGGCTAAAGCCATCTCGGCCACTGTCCAGCATGGCTGCTTCTCTCCTTTGAGACCAGCTCACTCTTTGTTCCTGCCAGATTTTAGACTCTCCTAAAGAAAGCAGTGTAGGACACTTCCTAGAATAGTTCTGAGTTGGGTCAAAAACCCAAGGAAGACAACCTGACAGCCTTATCTTTAAGATCTACCACGAGCCTGGGATGACGGAAGACAAGAGACCTTGACTGTGGAAGGGGGTGGTGGGAGGCGAGAGGTGTGGAAATGACGGGAGGTCAGTAGCTGGTGACAGGACCATAAATGGGGTGTGTCAGCATGTGTTCTCACGTTAGCTGGCCACGTGGTAAACATTAACCCCGCAAACCACCTCCCCAGAGACATGTCCACCCGAGGCCGAGGGCGTGGCAGGCAGTGGGAGGCTTGTCCAGACCCTTGCGTCCTGTAGGGCTGGGTCAGGAGCGGGGCCAGGCTCTGAAGCAGAGGGCCAGAGTGGAGCAGTGCTGGGCTGGGCTGCAGACGCTTAGATCTCATCTCTAATCCCACAGGGTGAGCAAGGCTGGATGAGGTTGGTGACCAGCATGTACAAGGACAGGACTGGAGCCAGCTACAATCTCGCCATTGAGGAGCAGTGCACGTTCGGAGACCCCATTGTTTAACACAGCTTCCTCGGATGTGACCTCACAAGCCATAGCCAGAGGGATCCTCCCATGTGTGCCCTGGCTGGGTGCTGGCCCAAGGCGATGGCTAATCATGGACACTGGTGGTGGTGCTGAACCCCTCCGAGGGGCACCTGTTGACATGTGGCACTAGCTGATGGGGGGGAGGCAAGTATCTGCACTGACCAGCTACCGAGGAGTGACCTGGAGCAGAGCTGGGCACTGGCTCTTGAGCACAGGGCAGCTGTGAGCCGCACTCTGCTGTGACAGGCCCCTCACCAGTCCTGGTGTCACCTTGGAACGGGAGGTGGGGAGAGTGAGAGAGAAATCTGAAATTACCCAAGTAGTGAATAAAGTATCTAGCCTCACTCAAGGACTGAGTCTGAGTGTGCCTTATTTATACACAAGAACATGTAACTTTGAACCTGGCTGAAAGGCTTTTAAAAAAATTTATTAGCAAATTGTAACAACTAGAGTGACACATCAACTGACTAGTTTTTCCTGTGAGAAAACTGGATTCAGCTTTGAAAGTGTTTCACTGAAGCCTGCTCTGAATTCCCACCTCGCTTGGCTCCTTTACTGAGGGAAGTGGACACTGGACACGGTGGGGCCAGAAGGTCCCACACTGCCGGCATGCTCTCCTACGAAGCAGGCAGCCCTGCATGCAGAGGCCGACTGCGCCTCTGAAGAGCAGCTCTAGGAAAAGGTCCTCCACAGCTCAGCTGGGCTTGCAGGGCTCCACTTCAGCTCTGACGGGAACCTGGACTCAGTTTACCATGATGAAGTTAGACTTGCAGTGAGCTGCAACAGGAGCACAGGTCACTCATGGCTATAACAAGAAGTGTGGCTCGTGGCAGCCCTGCAACCAAGGGGCCATCCGGGGGCCTTACCAATGAATTCCGTCACCGGGTCGTGCTCCCCTTCGGTCTTGATGGTGCCGGCGATGCTGTCATTTTCCAGGATGGGGAGGAAAAGCTGCACGAAGTCAGAGGTGTATGGGGGGGCGATGACATCCAGCACCTAGCGGGGAAGTCGGTTAGCATGCCTGCAGCCACGCAGAGCGCCGCACTGACACAGATGGCCGTCAGGCCACATGTCCCTCTGCCGCCCCCGGTTTCTCCAGCAACACCACCACACTAAGACACCAGGAGGTGTGGGGAAACCCTTGAAGCCTGAGGTAGGAAGTGCTGTCTGCCATCTCACTAGGATTAGTAGAGGGCTGAGCTCTCAGTTAAAGACGGAACAAAAGCAAGCAAGCCACAAGGAGACCTCCTAGGGTAAAGAGTTTGAAACACAAAAACCCAATGTGCCTTGCTGACCTCAGTGACAAAATATCGAATGAGTGAAATGTCAGTGTCCAGCTTCTCCAGACACTTCCGGATGTAACTGACCACAGGAAGTACATAACCTCGGCTCAGCAGGTGAACCATCCTGTCCAGCAGGGTCTTCTTCAGCTCTAGCTATGGAAGAGGAGGGGGCAGAGGACCTGGTCAGAGCGGGATGGCCCAGCCCTGCCCAGCCCTGGGCGCCACTTACCTGCTCCATCACGTCCAGCTGAGAGTGCTCTGTCTCAAAAAGCTTAACAAGCAGCTGCAGGACCTGGGGGTGCAGGAGCTGGTGGCAGGTGCTGATCTACGACAGGCAAAGGGGGTTCTGCTGAAAGCGCAGTGGGCTGGGTACTCGGAGAACAAAGACACTGTTGGGCACCTGGGGCGGGGCAGTGTGGAAGCCCAGCAATCCTTTGCCTACCAGATGAAAACTGAGACACCTACAGTCAGTGGAGCTACATCACTAAGAAGAAAATCCTCTTAAAAATAATGAGCTCTCAAGCCGGGCGCTGGTGGCTCACGCCTGTAATCCTAGCTACTCAGGAGGCTGAGATCTGAGGATCGCAGTTCAAAGCCAGCCAGGGCAGGAAAGTCCGTGAGACTCTTATCTCCAATAAACCACCAGAAAACCTCAAGTGGCGCTGTGGCTCAAGTGGTAGAGTGCTCGCCTTGAGCTGAAGAGCGCAGGGACAGCGCCCAGGCCCACAGTTCAAGCCCCACAACCTACCAAAAAAAGAAAAAAAAAGAGCTCTGCCGGGCGCTGGTGGCTCACGCCTGTAATCCTAGCTACTGAGATCTGAGGATCGCAGTTCAAAGCCAGCATAGGTAGGAAAGTCCGTGAGACTTTAACCTCCAATAAACCACTCAGAAAACTGGAAGTGGCACTGTGGCTCAAGTGGTAGAGGGCTTGCCTTGAGCTGAAGAGCTGAGGGACAGCGCCCAGGCCTAGAGTTCAGCCCCATGACCAACAATCAATCAATACATAAATAGCTCTGAACAGAGCATGGAACTTATCCACAGACGTAATGGAGGTATCAACTCCAAGGCAGAAGACAGAACCCCACTGCTGCACATGTCGTGAGTGGCGCGTCTGCCTTCTCACCTCGTCCAGCAGGGCCAGGTGGACCGGGGTGTGGTCCGTCTGGAGCTGGAAGTACCGGGGCTCAGATACCGTCCAGTCCACCCACTTCAGCACACCCATTGCTACCACAGGAAACCTACAAGCAAACAAGGCAGAATGCTTCCTTTAAACCAAGAGTGGGGAAAAAAGGTTCCTAAATAGGCCGAGAGCAGGAGAAGGGCTGGATGCTTCAGAACAAGCTCTGAGCCCCTCAGGCTGCACGCCCCTCACTGTGTGAGGCCAGGAGCCAAGAGGAGCTTCCAGGGAATGCTGGGAGAGCCTCAGCCTCTCACAGGTGCAGAGGAGAAACGGAGCTTGATTCCAGCTCACTTCAAACCACTTCAGCTACTGGAAAGGTCACCAATGCAAACAGAGTTTGGTGACCAGGGCTGAAGCTGTTGCCATTATTTAGCAAACCGCCTTTGGTCCCCACCACAGATAAACGAGGAAGGAACCAGAAGGCTCAGAGGGCACACTATTCCATGACACACCTAACGGTGTGATGGGCCATTTCCGCAGTATTTTACTGGTTTAACTTTTACTATAAATGGAGCCTTTTCTTTAAGTTAAAAAACTTCCTGATGGCCTTCCTTTCAGTCTAATTTGTGAGGATTTACTGACCAAATTTCTGGCCAATAAATACATGAAGATTATTCATACTGCAAAGAGTGTTAAGAGTTCTCTCCATGTATTTAAGAAAATAAAAAGAGCCAGGAGTGGGTGGCTCACACTTATAATCCTAGCTACTCAGGAGGCTGAGATCTGAGGATCACGGTTCAAAGCCAGCCTGGGCAGGAAAGTCCATGAGACTCTTTTTTTTTTTTTTTTTTTTGTCGGTCATGGGGCTTGAACTCTGGGCCTGGGCGCTGTCCCTCAGCTCTTCAGCTCAAGGCGAGCGCTCTACCACTTGAGCTACAGCGCCACTTCCGGTTTTCTGGTGGTTTATTGGAGATAGGAGTCTCACGGTCTCTCCTGCCCGGGCTGGCTTTGAACCGCGAACCTCAGATCTCAGCCTCCTGAGTAGCTAGGATTACAGGCGTGAGCCACCAGCGCCCGGCTCCATGAGACTCTTATCTCCAATAAACTACTAGAAAATTGGAAGTGGTACTGTGGCTCAAGCAGTAGAGTGCTCACATTAGGCTGAAGAGTGCAGGGACAGCGTCCAGGCCCAGAGTTCAAGCCCACGACTGACCAAAAACAAAAATCAAAACCAAAAACCAGCCTGAGAAGGAGCATCCACGAGACTGATCTCTAAGAAACTACTCAGAAAAAGCCAGAAGTAGTGCTGTGGATCAAGTGGTAGAGCGCTAACCTTGAGTAACAGAAGCTCAGGGACAGAGCCCAGGCCCAAAGTTCAAGCCCCAGGACCAGAAAAAAAAAAAAAAAAAAGAGTAAGCATCCGAAGCTCTTGCCTGTGAACTTGAACATGAAGCAGCCCTGAGCCAGCCCCCCACCCCGGGAGCCGGTCAGGTGGGACCAGGGTCGCCGCCCGCTCACCTGATGCACTGGTACAGAGTGCTCAGCTCCGCCACCAGCTCAGAGGCCCCCTTGTTCTCGTTGCAGCACAGGTTGTGGACAGTTTCCACCGCTTTGGATGTCGATTTCAGCTCATCTTTATTGATGCTCACCCGCTTGTTCTGAAAACACACAGCGGGTGAATGAGGAGAGCGCCATTACCTGGCCCCTCAGGTGTCCTGGCTGGGCCAGTCTCTGCAAGGCCCTCCTCAAGTCTGAAGTCTGAGGTGAGAAGTCAGAGTGACTGTCACAATGCATGGCCACATAGGGCACAGACGCCAAGCCAGGGAGCCTGCGGTCACTTCTCTAGACATATCCTGGCATCAATACCTAGGGAATGCTAACATGTTCATCATCTTATGCACCAACATAAAGACACTGTCACTATTAGGCAGACTAAAATTCCCCAAAGCTCCCAAGGCAGAGGACACCTGTGTTTAAGAACCCACTGACTGTACCTTCTTCCAGGTCTCAACCACACTGGCGGCGTAAGCCAAGATGTGGATATACTTGTGCTTGTGGTCCTGGTTGATCCTGGCCCCCGGCTTGAACAGTGACTGCATAAACAGGTCCAGGAAGGCCGGCACCCGGATCTAGGAAACCGGAAGAAGCATACACCAGCAAGGGCCAGAAAGGGGCTGGTACACAGGTTCATGCCGCCTACGGGGCTCTCACCAGCTCACAGACAAAAGGGGTGGGGATGGGGAAAACGATAGCAACAGAGACAGGGATTTTCACTCTCTGCCTAAGAAAACCGGGGGAACCTGAAGAGACTTCGCAAAGCTTTTCCGCCAATGGACAGAAGGGGTGTGTGACTTCATTGGGATGAGAGGCAGCTTACGAGCTCCACAGGAGGAGGGTCCATGCTGGTGAACATCTTGAACAGGACAGTGATGTCTGCAGGATTCAGGGCTCCTTTCGACAGCATGGCCCCAAGGGCCTGGCAGGCCCGGGGATAGGAAGCGGCAGTGCCCAAGGCCAGTGTGATCTGACTGGCATCATGGCCTCTGGACAGAAAGACCACACAATGGGTCACTAACTAGGCAACTTTGTTTCTTTTTTTTCACACTTAGTTTTTAAATTGTTGGGATCCTTTGCTTCTTCCTATTTCTGTCATTCATTGGCTTACTGACTCTGATCCATGAAAACAGAGCAAGCTGGGAAATAATAATTCCAAAGTAGCTTGTAGAGTTGGTAAAGGAAAGCATGTATTTCTAAAACAATTGTAACAATTTTTTTTGGGGGGGGTCAATTGTGGGGCTTGAATTTGGGGCCTGGGCACTGTCCCTCAGATCTTTTTGCTCAAGGTTAGAGCTCTACCATTTTGAACCAGAGCTCCACTTCTGGTTTTCTGGTGGTTCATTGGAGATAAGTCTCACTCAGGGACTTTCCTAGCTGGGCTGGCTTTGAAGGATCTAGGATCTCAGCCTCCTGAGTAGCTAGGATTGTAGGAATGAGCCTGCTAAAACAAATTGTAACATTTGTTGCAACCAAATAAAACTCTAAGAGATGAACTCTGTTTTGTAAGATATGGACTTGGCTAACCTTGGGCTCACTGAAAAAGTATTTTAGGGTGCCTGGATAGTTGCTATGGTTGAGTCCCAGCACAGAAAAGCTCAGGTCACACCTCCAGCAATGGAGAATCAAGTACAAAATGACCATCAAGGGAGCATCAGCTAAGCTCTCTCCAGGGACCAGAAACTACCCTGACTTCCAGATCTCGAAGTCAGAGTTAACGTAGATGCCACAAGGGCAGGGCTAGAGGCTACGGCGAGGACCTAGGGAAAGGGAGCAGAAGCATGGTCTCACTTCTCCTGGGCGAAGCGTTGTACTTCCTGTGCAACCCTGCGCACAGCGGACCCGCCCTGTTCCTCCTGGGCCAGCACCGACATCATGGCCTGTGCAAACAGGTATGTGTGTTCCCCGTGGCATACCATCTTCTGGAAGATTGTAAGGAGATAGGGTTCAGCTTACACCACAGGCAGGGAAGATGGCTGCCTGCCTGGAGGTAGCAGGGGAATGGGTTTTCATGCCCCATTTGGATGCAAGATTTATAGAACAATGCACTCACAGCAAACTCAGGGAGATTCTTCTCAAGGTTTTCTTCTCCTCCATCCAAGATTGTGGCTAGTGAGGTGCGAAGCACTCGAGAGAACACCTCTAACTGCTGGCATGCAGTGGACACACTGGTGATTTCTCCTTGGTACCCTGCATCAGAAATCAACTGCCACACAAAACAAGAGCTGAGGGTCAGCGTCTCATGACCCCATCTTTCACAGCCGTGCCTGGCCAAGTTTGGGGCCAGCAGAACAGGTGAGCAGTAGACTCATGTCTCCAGCTTTTATTCCGCTTCCCAGGGTGCCATCTAGAGCATCTAGGCTGACCCCAGCTCACTGTTCTCCTGGGGCTGCTTCTATAAGAGGAAGCATGAGTGTTGGGCCTGCTAAAAGGCTCCTGAGCACAAGTGTGCAACCCCTCCCTGTTACATGCTCACAGAGTAAGTGTGGCTCTAGAAGCAGATGGACTCTATGCTTCCTTTTCTCAGTATAAGGCTTACTAGAGTGAACCAGTGAAGATCTTTATTTAATGCAGTATGATCTTTCAAAGGAAATAGACCACTGAACAATTAAAACATACTCACTCATCTATACTTTTATCTTTTCTCTGACCCCAGGTCTTTACCTTCACAGTAAAGTTCAGCATCAGACAGTCAGGATGGGCTTCAGCCAGCTTGTAGAACAGATCTCTCCACGTGGTATGTGCGATCATTTGCTCAAGCCAAGCTGGGGTCTGCCAACAAACAAACAGTAAGATAAAAGGCCTAGCTCTGGCCTAGGCAAAGACAATGTTGTATAAACAATCACAGGACATTCCAGTTGGAGGGGCCCCTGGGTGTCCCCAGCTCTGGAGGAAGCTGCCAGGGCCAGCCTTGGCCACACGGTTAGCCAAGTAGCAGGTTAAAAGCCCTGTAGAGCGTTTGGAACCTCTAATGCAACATGAACATTACAGGGTATGCAAAGAGATGGGACATGTAGATCTGTCCCACAGAGGCACGTAACTGTGGTGCTGCTGCCCACATGGCACGGGAGGCACAGGCACTCTGGAGTATCTGCTCCCCACATGGGTAAGGGAGCTCGGGCACTGTGGAGTATCTGCACTCACATGGGTAAGGGAGCTCGGGCACTGTGGAGTATCTGCTGCCCACACGGGTAAGGGAGCTCGGGCACTGTGGAGTATCTGCTGCCCACACGGGTAAGGGAGCTCGGGCACTGTGGAGTATCTGCACTCACATGGGTAAGGGAGCTCGGGCACTGTGGAGTATCTGCACTCACATGGGTAAGGGAGCTCGGGCACTGTGGAGTATCTGCACTCACATGGGTAAGGGAGCTCGGGCACTGTGGAGTATCTGCACTCACATGGGTAAGGGAGCTCGGGCACTGTGGAGTATCTGCTCCCCACATGGGTAAGGGAGCTCGGGCACTGTGGAGTATCTGCACTCACATGGGTAAGGGAGCTCGGGCACTGTGGAGTATCTGCTGCCCACACGGGTAAGGGAGCTCGGGCACTGTGGAGTATCTGCACTCACATGGGTAAGGGAGCTCGGGCACTGTGGAGTATCTGCACTCACATGGGTAAGGGAGCTCGGGCACTGTGGAGTATCTGCACTCACATGGGTAAGGGAGCTCGGGCACTGTGGAGTATCTGCTCCCCACATGGGTAAGGGAGGCTTGGGCACTGTGGAGCTGCCCCACACGGTAAGGGAGGCTTGGGCTCTATGGAGCTGCATCCCACATGGTTAAGATGCCCTCAACAGGCAGGACAAGTGCTCTGAACTAGGCCTTGGCTCGGCTCATCGCCCTGTGTGGTGCTGCCCTACTGTGCGACTGATGGACTGAAGGGCTACACTGCCTCCTCTGCCACTCCCTGACACAGAGGGCTCCCGAGGCAGGCCTGTGTGCCTGTGTGAGGAGGCAGGGCCAGGGTGGGCGGTGGGTCCCCGCTGGAACTCGAAAAAGCTGTCATGTGGCCTGAGAAACTTTCTACCCACTTTCTGGCCCTCAAGAGTGAACCACGTACTCTGGCTCCCAGCCTCCGCCAGCACAGCACACAGTCCCCTCTACAGCCTCCTGCATGTCCAATGCTGCCTTGGTGACTACTTCTCTGAGGGCCCACACTGCTACACCCAGGAGTCAGGGAGTCCACTGTGCATCCTTTTGGCCTCAGCACCAGAGCCTCTCCTGCAAGCCCTTCCATGCCTGGACCCACGACACCCCGCTCAGATGGGCTTGCCAGGCTACAAACATGAGGACCAGCCCAAACCCTGGCCATGCACTCATGAACACGCAACTCCTCACCTCCCCTTCTTCAGTAAAAATAGAATCTGCTTTGCGGGGATCAAAATGTTTGATCAATAAACTCTTCAAATGGTTTTCCACCGTCTCCTGAACCTGTACCGGCTCAACACCTGAAAGGAGGCAGACATTTAGATGGGGGACAGCTGCCTGTGAAGCCACAGACTCCCACAGGAAAGCCACAGCCCAAGTCTCCACATACTGAACAAACATTGAAAGTGAGCCAGACTCGGGACCTCTTAAAACTATCTATGAACTCCATTCAGTAGCAAGAATGGGAATGAACTCAGAATGGAGCACCCAGGCCCTGGCCCTGGCCACCGGGAAACCCTCTCCAAGGCAAAGGCCCAAGCAGACAGGTGGAGGATGGAACGCACGCACTGCCCACAGAAGAGCACAAGTGCTGCCAAGAGCCACTCGGGGGGTCTGACCATGGCTTCTGGAAGTGCTTACGTGAGCGAGGTCGCTGCCTCTGCCCCATGGATTTACAGGAAGGCTCCCACTCTGCGCATATTAGCTAAGAGGTGAAATCAACGCCAGTCCTAAACTAGCCACCATTCACTGCTTGCTGTTACAGACCTCTAGAGATGCCACGCTGAGTGTCCACTGTGTAACTCCCTAGTTCCATAGCATGACAGAGAGAGGAGCTCCATGGGAAACCCATTTGCAGGCTAGCCACGCACCTCAGTGATGAAACCAACTTCAGTCACGCAGAGAAAAATAGGTAAGAAGCTCAGGTCTTACTTATACAAATCAAAAAGCAGGGACATAAAGAAGGTACTGCCAACTTATCAAAGGTCTTTGCAAGCAAAGGGGGTGCACAGCCAGGACAGAGCTCCCCCCACCCCCACACACATCAAGAACCTGTTTGAATGAGCCACTCAGCGAGCAGGTTCACAGTCTGGGCAACAGCGGTATAGTTCTCGGATAAGAGCTGGATAACATTTTCTGGAGACCCTCCCGCTTGAAAATACCTGGGAAAGCCAAAGAGACAATTGATGGGCATAGGTATGCCCAGCAGACAGGGAGATAAGGAGAAAAATACTTAAGATTAGGAGATTTTTCTCCCCATTACCCTTTCTTCTGGTACTTGGGTTTAGCCCCAGGGCCTTATCTCTGCTAAGCAAGCACCCTACTACTTCAGCCATGCCCCCTTGTCCTTTTTGCTTTAGCTATTTTTAGGTAGGATGTCACATTTTCACCCAGGGCTGACTTTGGACCATGATCCTACTACCTGTCCCTCCAGTACAGCTAGGATTTCAGGCATGTGTCACCATGACCCAGCATGTTTTTTTTTTTTTTTTTTTTAATGGTTGAGGACTCTAGAAGCCTTCCACTGAAGGATCACACTCTTGCTTTACATGTCATCCTCCAGGTCTTCTGCAAACCCTACCTCCTGCCCCACCCTGCCATATAGATGCCATCCTCACACACCTCTTCAGAGTGTTGAAGATGGAAGGCTCCATGATATAGTCCCGGGTGGAAAACTTATGCAGGCATTCCTGCTGTACCTCTGCATCATCCTCGCCTTCTCCGGAATCATCTTCCTGCTGCTGCTGAAAAACACCAAGAGCCAATGTTTTCTTCATTAATACATGTCCTGCCTCACCATAAGCATGTCTAATGCAACTCATGTCAGTATCGTGTGGATACTGTCAGTATCAAGTAGGATGTGTGGCTACTCTACCAGGTCAACCGTAATGCCATGATCACGCACGTGAGCCAGCCCCCCCCAGGGGCCACATCCCTGCCATAAGTCTTGCCTGCTTCCACTCAGCCAATTTCAGGAAGGGCCAAGACTAATGCCTGCATTTAGTTCAGGCGATATGAGTGGCTTTCAGCACTGGGATGTCACACATGCCAAGTAATCCCATCCAACAAAGCCTCACAAAGTGATTCCTGAAGTTACAAGCTGCTGATTTATGGTCAGAAAGTAACAATCACTAACTTGCCTTGACTCGGCAGGCCTCGCTAGATTCTAGTCCCATTTTTGGCTGGAAGCAACTTTAGGCAGGTCACTGAAGCTGACGCAAAGCAGGCTGCTTCACATGCTGACAGCCATGTGATGGTAGCAGACTGAATGACCCCAGGTCTGTACAGCCTTATGCTGTCATCTCAACAAGACGCGGACGCACTGAGACTGGGCTCACCACCCAAGAACCTACGATAACATAAGATAAGACGCGCTTTTCCATGTAAGGAGTTTACAAACTAGTTAGGAGACCAACCTCCAGGCAACTGACTCACACAGTGGGTAGGAGTCAGACCAGAGACTGCAAACTACAGCCACATCCAGACCTCTTCCTATTATGTAATAAAGTTTTATTGAAACACAGTCACAATTACCCTATCATGTGTTGTCCATGACGATTGTCTCCCTAAAACCACAAAAGTAAGTGGCTATGGTACAGCCCGGCACAGCCTACCATATTCAATATCTGGCCTTTCAGAGTTTGCCCAGAAGGGGTCTGGACTACATTGTACAAGCAGTGCACTGGAAGCAGACAGAGCCTGGGGACTTAGCTATGAAGACCAAGAGACTCTCTCAGATCCGATTTGGAGCCTTAAGGAAGTGGGCTGGGCTCGTTCTCATGTGCCCGCGCTGCTAGGATCCTACCCAGGCCTCCCCTCTCCCACTACCACGTCTTCTCTGGTGCCATGCCATCCACCCACTCACATATGTTCAGCCTGAACACTCTCTTAAACTCCACAGTCCATCCTATTCTCATTTCCATCCAATACACCAGTAGGACTCCTCTTCCTAAGGTCCAAAACTGACCATGTCTTTCCCTGGGACTAGTCTTCCTACAATCTGTATTTTAACAAGGCATCCCTCCATGGTGCATGTATTATCTGGGAACCTCAGAGGCATCCAGTTTCTCCTCCTCATGCCACCCCAACAGCCTTCTACAAAGACCCATCAACTCCATTTTCTTTTCTTTTTTTTTTTTTTTTGGGGGGGGGGGGGTGTCCGTTCATGAGGCCTGAACTCTGGGCCTGGGCGCTGTCCCTCAGCTCTTCAGCTCAAGGCTAGCACTCTACCACTTGAACCAGAGCGCCACTTCCGGCTTTTTTCTTTTTGCTTATGTGGTGCTGAGGAATCAAACCCAGGGCCTCTGGCATGCAAGGTATGCGCTCTACCACTGAGCCACCTTCCCAGCCCCTCAACTCCATTTTCATACAGACCCAATTTGGCCCATTCTTCCATCTTTGCTTTCCTCTCTTTGTTCTCTGTGCGCAAACAGTAGCCATGTCACTCCACATACGTCCATCTCAATCACTCCTTGCAAACATCTTATCTTTTCCATGATGCTACAGCCATTCTAAGCCCCAAATCTGGCATCTAGCTGCTTAAAAATTCTCTATCTCTGTCATACAAATAAAAATCCAAGTTCTAGTTTGATGCAGCCCTTCCCACCTGTTCACCCATGAAATTTTACTCCATTGAAAACCTGCAGCCAGATTTAGTTGAATGTCATCTGTACTTAACACAGTAGCCTCTTTACACATCTTCCTGCCTCTCCAATTCACATAAGATGGCATCAATTGAACAGAATTGGTTTCATGAGCTATCTTTACAAATCCAGCTTAGGTCACCTTCCTCACTTGTTTAAACAATCTTCTCTTAAGTAGTCACAGTTGGAAGGAACAGGAAGTAAATAAAAATTTGCTCCCCCCACCCCCCTGCAGCTCATCAATGAGAACCTACCAGGATCAATGAACCAAACTAAGGTCATGATTAAACTTAGGAGGCTCAAGTTTCCATCAGTAAGGTATAGGCTTAACTCTGCCATTATTATTTACACTAGTGTGCTCTGTCTTACAAAATGGGGCCTAGGGCTAGACGGTCTAGTCCAATGCTAACACTCAAATGATGGGTGTGAAGAAGTGCCAAACACCAGTCCACTACTGTGCTAATTCAGATCTCAATTTCTCCTACCTGGATGTCCTCAGTAGTCAAGTTTGGTGAAATAGCAACAGAGACAAAGGACATGAGTTTTATGACCTTAGGCAGTTCACTAAGTCCTTGTCTCACCTCCTAGGACAAGAGTTAATATCCAACTCAAAATCTTGAGTATGGAATTGTAGTAGGTGCTTAAAAGCTGCCTCTGCTAAAAAGCAGACTCCTTACTGGGGCCTCCAAATTAACTAAAAGCAGAAGTCAGGTGCTGGTGGCTCATGCCTGTTATCCTATCTACTTGGGAAACTGCAATCAGAAAGATCACTTCTCTGGGGCTGCTTGGCAGAAAGACCACAAGACTCCATCAATGGAAGAAGCTAGGCCTGGTGGCTCACACCTGTTATCCCAGTAATAGGCGGATTATTGTCCAGGGACATGACTGGGCAGGGAGAAAAACCTTACCTGAAAAACAACCAGTACAAAGTGTTGGAGCTGTGGCTCACTGGTAGAATGCAAGCATAAGACCTGAGTTCAAATCCCCAGCAACACACACACACACACACACACACACACACACACGCATGCATACACGTGTGCACCCAAAGCTTGGCATCCCTGCCTCCATTTTGCCTTTGCTCTGAGCAGTTGTCTCTATAGGCACTTGAATACCTCTCTCCTTCCCCAGTTCTTTGTCTATTTAAAGCTAAAGCTCATGTCCATACCTCAAAGATGGCTAAAAATGAACTGCTGTTTCCTCATGGCTGCTGGTACCAAGCCTCTTTGACATACACAGGTTAAGTGGCCAGGCCTGACATGTGGAATCATAAGAGCTTGGGCCTCTAGCCCAAACCAAGTCCAATTTCCCAATGAGACAATGCATGGGAATCCCCACATTACATACCCCAGCCTCCCAATTAGCTAAATCTTGCTATTTACTAGCCCTACTAAGAGAGCCCGACACTGTGGGAGGATCCAACATTCTAATCTACTCTCATGCCCTGCTTTACAGTTCTCCAAGACCTTAAGGAACCTACTGACTTTATTTCCCTGCCCTACCATGCAAATAACCAAAGGTTTTCCTTCAGTCCACTCTGGGTGGGCAGGGCCCTGGCTGCCCCACTGTGCCAGCTCTAGGAAGGAAACCTCATTGCATCCTAATTCCTTCAGATCAGTTTCTTGATCCCTAACAAACAGGCCAGGCCTGGCAATCCTGCACACCATCAAGAGGGCAGATTCCAAGGGAAGGGCCCGCGAAGCTTGTCAGTCGTGTACCCCCGGACCTTTCCTAACTTCCCAAGCAGGTGTTGAGAACAAAATGATGGAGCCAGACTGTCCAACCGGACCCTAGTGAAGACTACCTAATGAAATCAGCCCAAAAGTTTTGAAAAAGTTTGGTCTACTCCAAGGTGGAAAGTTTTACTTTTCTCCTGGGGCGCTGGTCTGGGGTTTGTGGTTTTACTTTGGTGACAACTGTGCGGCTGGGCCCGGTCCGCCACCCGGAGATGGCGTCCGGCCGCCCCGCCCAACGGCGGGGGCTGCGCGCCAGGGGAAACTGAGGCGCCCAAGGCGCGGGGGTCCCGCGCTGGCTCTCGCCGGAGCCCGCGGCTCACACCGCCGGGTCCCGGGGCGCGGACCTGGAGCCCGGCCGGGCCGCGCGGGGCTGGGGGCGGCGGGACCCCGGGGCCGCACCGGCGCTCACGCCCCTTACACCCCTCACACGGCCTGGCCAGCGCAGGCCGGGCAGGGGCGGCGACAATCAAGCCTAGTCGGGGGGCGCCCAGTGCCCCCCCTCACCTGGCCGCCTTCCGCCTCCTCGCCCCACTCAGCCGCATTCCCGAAGTAATCTTCCGCCATGAGGGCGCCCGGCGCGGGCCCCGCCATGCTATCCACTTGGCAGGCAGGACGCATGCGCGCGATAGGCCAGCCGGGAAGGCGCACGCGCAGCTCTGGGCTCCGCCCCCATGGCCGGGCGCTCGGCCCCGGCCGGGAGCCGCGGTGTGTGTGGTGGGGGGGGGGGGGGGTGGGGGGGGGGTGGGGGGGGGGGAAGCTTCAGAGGGCGTGTCCTGTACAATGGGGCGGGACCTCTGGTTTCGAGGGGGCGGGGCCTCGAGGGGGCGGGGCCTCGCGGTCCGGCTGTCTCCCAGTGAGTCCCAGCACGCTCTGGAGTTGAGCGGGCTCTGGAGACCTCGGCTGCGACCTTCCGCCCTTCGAGGCCGGGTTTCCTCAGCTGACAGGTAGGCCCGCATCCCGCCGGGACCGGGTCTAGGACACACCAAAATGTTCCCCATGTTCTGTCACTGGCAAAAACCACTTGATGTCGGAAAAAGCAGACTTTCCCTGTGCTTTTAGCGGAGGAGGGCCTACGAAGGCCTGTGCGGCCCGCGGAAGCCTGTGCGGCCCGCCGAGGCCCCGGCTGAGGAACAGGAGGCCGGCCGTTAGAGACCCCCCCCCCCCCCCCCCCGTGACTGCCCGGAACTCACTGGGAGACAGATGGGACAAGGCAGGAGGTGACAGGTGCCAGCACCCCGTGTGTGGCCGGGGCGGACTGCTCTGAACCTCCTCTCTGAGCTCAGAGTGGCAGGGGGCCCAGACAGCATCTGCAGAAGCAGAACTGCCCAGGCCGAGGCTAGGCGTGCTTCCGCGGGACGGAAGGCCGCTGGTAGGTGGGGGAGAAATCCGGATAAGAGGGAAGAGGGGCCGGGCATGCCGGGAGGTGCTAGGAACCTGGGCGCTGGGGAAGATTAGCTACAGTAGTGCTGATGGTGGTGGAGGTGAAGCCTCTGGGGGTTATGGTTTGGTTCTTGTGAAAGGTCGTGGGAAAGATACCTGGATGTTTCTCACCATTCCCCACTGCTTTAGTAATAGCTGATGGCAGAGAAGGGACTGTAAGGTGAGGACCAAGGATGGCTGTAAATGGGAAGAGGGTGGAGGAAGAGGCTCTGGGGAGGTCCCACGGAGGAGCCCAGCCAGGTGTGGGTGGACCCCTGCTGGGAGCGGAAGCCCAGCAGGAGGGCAGACTTCCACCAGGGAGAGCGAGTCCCCGTGGGACATGCTGAATGAGGGGTGACAGCAGATCACCCTGAGAAGGTGTCTGTCGTGCAGGTCTTGGAGGTGGAAGTCTGTACCTCCGGCTTCAGTTCACAAGATTGAAGTGTATTTAGTTCTTGAGAGCTCCTGCTGCTGGTTCGTTTCAGAGGCTCATTTTCATTTACTTTCCGAAAATGTTGGAAAGAATAGACGGCTGTTAAACTCCCACCTCTCTCCCTTCTAGACTTAAAAAAACAACAACAAAACAGTGCCTGGATTGAAAGCAAATTAATATATGTGTAACTAATTGCACCTACAGAACCAGCGATTATTTAACTCACCTCTCCCTCAAACAAAAGGGGCAAGGCATGGATAAAAGGCATGGATAAATCCGTTATTAAATGGATTAACAAACAACCATAGTGAAAGGATTACATTCAGCCTATAAGTCCCAATGAATGATCTAGAATAATCAAATCTATAGATCTCACTTCCTAAAATATTGTTGAGGAGTTGTACAAGAGCCTTGTGTGGAATGTCCAAAGTAACTGTCATTACTTTAAATACTCCAAAGTCATTTCAGATAACTTTCTGTTTAAGACAAATTCTGGGGGAGAATTTCTGTAGAAATGAAAGGATGAGTTTATTTAATCTGTTCTATAAGTATTTACTGAACACCTACTAGGTGTCATGTGTTGAGACATAGCTATGTTGGGATACAGCCTATGTTGTATAAAATTTTTTTAAAAAGAAAGATTGTCTTGGATGTTGGAGGGAGTTCAGAGGCTTTAAAGAGGAGGTCAAGGGAAGTGTGCATGTTGAGACTTAAGACTTGAGCCTAGGGGAAAGATAGAATCAGAAAAATAATGGTTGACAGAGGAAGACATGGCTGCACTGCAGACAGGGAGGGCCTTGAGCGAGGCACTTTGTGTTCCTCCAGCTTTTCAGCTGAACCTTTAGGCCTTGCTGCCCCTCTGCCCATTCTGTAGATGTGGCAGGCCCTGGGACTGGTATACAGAATGCTTCTATTTCTTTTTCTTCTTAGGGAGTCATATCCAAACCTTCCAGATCATCTCTATGTTGTGAACTCTCTCTGCTGTGTTTCCAGCCCAAGTATTACTTCTTCTCTGCTGTCCAGACTTGAGTATATAATGGCCTAATTGCAGCTTGACCTCATTGTGAGGGTGTTGGTGGCATCTCAATGTCTCCATGAGTTCCTCAGGCATGATCTACCAGTATCATAGTTTGCACTATCAAACACCTGGAACTCATCTGTCACTTCTGTTGCCTCTCCACTCGGATCCAGTCCCAAGGCAGATCCTATGGCATGTCTACTAAGAAAGGATTTCAAATCTATCCATCCATATCTCTCTTTACTACCAGGGTCTTACCCTGGGCTTTGCCCAGCTTTCTCCTGGGAGCCTGCAATAGCTGATCTGTCACATTTCCTCTTGCTCTATTATGCTTCATTGTTGGTGGTTTGCAAAGTGTGCGCACAAGGTTTCCATCCCATCTTCAAAAAGTGGAGCTCAACTTCCCTCCCTGTGAATGCCGTCTGAACTTAGCAATTCACTTCTCGTGAGTAGCATGAAGTAAAGATCTTGGAAGATGCCGATTGACTGGATCCTAAACAGGTATATGACCTCCATCTTGGCCACACTCTTGGATCACTTCCTTTAGGAGAAGCCAGGAACCAACTTGAGCAGCCCAGTGGAGAAAGCCCTGGAGAATAGCTGAGGCCTCTAGCAACAGCTGTGTTAAGCCGGAGATCCTCTACTCCCAGTCTATGCTCAGCCAACATCTTGTTGCAACTTCATGAGAGACACTGAATTAGAACCATTCACCTGAGCTGCTTCTAAATTCCTGATTCACAGAAACTATGACATAATAAAATGTGTGCTGTTTTAGCAGATAAATTTGGAGTCATTTCTTATGTATTAGTAATTAAGTAATATGAGTATGCAGAGTGCTTGTTTAGTTTTTTATTTTTTTTATTAAAGTTTTATTTTATTGTATTTATTTTATTTTATTTTTTTGGGTCCGGTCGTGGGGCCTGAACTCTGGGCCTGGGCTCTGTCCCTCAGCTCTTCAGCTCAAGGCTAGCGCTCTACCACTTGAGCCACAGCTCCACTTCCGGCTTTTTTCTTTTTGCTTATGTGGTGCTGAGGAATCGAACCCAGGGCCTCAGGCATGCAAGGCAAGCGCTCTACCACTGAGCCACCTTCCCAGCCCCAGAGTGCTTGTTTAAAATGTAATTCAGATCATGGTCCTTCTCTGCTAAATGCATCTCAGTGGCTTCCTATTTCACTTTCAAGAAACTTATCATCTTTTCATGTCTGTCATGATGAGAGATGAATAAAGTCTACAAATATGCCCCCAAAGCAGCTATAATGCTAGATACAACTGTCAAAAATAGCCATTTTACACCTCTGAAAATGATGAAAGGTATTCCCAAAACAGAAACATTTAAAAATCAAAATGAATAAACTTTAAGTGGATGTACTTCTTTTCTTCTTCTTCTTCTTCCTCCTCTTCCTCCCTGGCTTGGGCTTGGGGGAGGGAGGTGTGTTTCAGAGCTTGGGTACTATTCCTGAGCTTTTTGTTCTCAAGGTCAATGCTCTACTACTTAAGCCTCAACTCCTCTTCCACTCTTTTGGTGGTTAATTGGAGAAAAGAATCTCATGGACTTTCCTGCCCAGGCTGGCTTTGAACTGTGTTCCTCAGATCTTATCCTCCTCAGTAATTAGGATTGCAGATGTGAACCACCAACACCCAGCTGTGCTCCTATTCTTGAAAGTAAAAAGAGAAATGTGACTGATTGGTAAGTGACCTTGCATCAGAAGCAGTGGAGGCAGCCTAGGATGTGGGATAGCCTTCTGAGTAGAGTGCTTCACCAGCATGCCTGGAGCTCTGGGTCCCAGTCCCAGCACCCTACATAGCAACCCACCAGCCTCAAAGAAGGGGATGCTACATGTACACGTATGTGCTTTGTAATCTCTACAGCAATCACTAATGAAAATCTCAAAAGATAGTAAAAAAGATCAAAGCAGTTCATGAAAACATACAATAAAGAACAAGAAACAGGAGACAAAAAAAATCAAAATTGGCAGCATAACTCCACTCATATCAAACATTTTATTAAAAGTAAATATACTAAATAATATAGAAGGCAAAGATGGATGGGGATGGGGGCAGAGAACATAGTCTAACAATATTCTGTCTATCATGGAAACACTAGACTCAGACAAAAAAGGAAAAAGATGTACATGAAAAAAGCACCCATGCAAGAGGTGGAATTTATATATCAGTATCAGACAAATTAGGGTTTAAGGTTTAGAAACAAACCATGATAAATAGGACTTGGATAAGGTAGATAGTGCAATTATGCACATATAGGCATCTATCATTCTCTGATTAGCTGAAAGTTTGTGAAACAAAAATTGACCGAATTGGGACCAGTACAAGAGTATATACCTATAATCTCAGTACTTAGGAGGTAGAGAAAAGAAAGGCTAGAATAGGTAGCAAGACTTTGTCTCAAAAATAAAAATGAACTATTAAAACAAAAACAAGACAGTAGCAGATAGTCATTTCAATACCATCTTTGTTCTTGTAAATGATAAATAACTGGACAAAAAAATTAGTGGTGGTGAGATTATAAAATGATACAACAGTTATGGAGAACTGTAGGGCAACACCTCAAAAACTTAAAAGTAGAACCATCATATGGTTCGGTTGTCTATTTTCTAGGAATTTATCAACATACTCATGTTCATACTGGCAAGATTCACACTTCAAATGTTCACTGATAGTCACGGTCCATCCATGTAATGAGATATTATTCAGCCTTAGAAAGGAAGAGAGGTCTGATAACTGCTG